CTTCCACTAGGCTACCGCCTCAATCATATTTTAAGAAATATAGACACCAACTGCCCGGCATGCCCCCACACCACTTAGACAATAGAACATTTTGCACTAAAGTGCAAGATAAGCCAAACAATATGGAGGACACCTATGCAACCACTCAAAAGCCTCCATTTCTACCTCTTTGCAAGAAATTTCCTCAGCAAACAACTTTAAAAATTACAAAGAACGTAAGGTAGCTCTGTGGCTACATATCAATATAGTTTACAAAATCTAGTGTTGGTATACACAATCCAGATGGGGGAAAAACAATCTACTAGAATGTGTAGTAGCCAATATAGTAACTATTAAAATTAGAAAAGAACTCGTCATTCTCCAAAGAATACAGCAGAATGGGACAACATCCGCTTTACTTAGAAATATTCTTAAAATTGTAAAACCTCCTAATAACTGTATATAATATTTAATAGTTAAAATAATAAAATATGCTTAACTGCGGTTAAAAAAAAAAAAAAATTCTATTAAAGGTAACGCAACATTACTAGATCTTTGAGTACTTTAAAATTCTGTTAAATGTAATGCAATATTGCTAAAGCTTTAAAATTCTATTGAAACAGAATAAAATATTCAAATTCTTTAAATCATAGTTTTTATTATTTAATATAAGTAATACATATTATACTAATAATGTTTTGCTATTCTAGGTTAATTAGTGGTAATGTTATAATAATTATTGATAATTGTAGTTTTTCTTTTTTTCAATCTTTGAACACTATCTAATGTTGAATTTTTAATAAATGCATTGGAATATAAGAGTAAATTTGGTCGTGTAGAATCTTTAAAAGGCATATTAAATTTATTTGAAGATGGTAATTTTGATGTTAATGTTGATTTGTAAGATGCTTCTAATTTTTTATACAAGGCTGATTCTTTGTGCAAGGTTGATTCTTTGTGCAAGGTTGATTCTTTGTGCAAGGTTGATTCTTTGTGCAAGGTTGATTCTTTGTGCAAGGTTGATTCTTCAGATAGTGCTGATTCTTTGGATGATGCTAATTCTTTGGATGATGCTAATGATGCTAATTCATCAGGTGATACTAATTCTTAAGATGAAGCTTCTGTTGATACCTTTTTCTGAGATAAGTGGTGTGGGGGCATGCCGGGCAGTTGGTGTCTATATTTCTTAAAATATGATTGAGGCGGTAGCCTAGTGGAAG